GTCGCCCGCGCTTGCCCCGTACTCGCGCGCTGTCGCGCGCCCATCGCCACTGCTACCCAGCTACCGCGCGTCCTCGGCACCTGCGCGAGTGCCGCACACGCTCCTCATGCCCGTGCCGCTCGCGCCGTCGTCCCGTGCCTCGCGCGTCTCCTCCAGCGTCCCAGCGTCCTGATCCTCTACCGCGCGCCCCCGTGCACCCGCTGCACTGCGCGTCCCAGCCGTCCCCGTGGCCTGATCGTCTACCACGCACCCGCGTACGCCCGTTGCCATCCGCGTACCGCCAAACTCCGTGGCTGATCCTTCCGATGCGCACCATCGTGCGTTGCTCGCGTCGACGTCACTCACCCGTGCACCAATTTGACCCCTCGACCCATTACGCGCATCAAGGTACGATGCGCGTTCTTTTCTCGTGCTCGCACCCTTGTCGCCAACCGACTCCAAGTGCTCGCCCGATTCCTTAAGCTCTCCCGACGGCCATGGATCCCATCCATCCAACCCAATACAATCCCCAGCTCGCCAAATCCAACCATCCTCCATTCTACTCATACCCCGCCTTCGAACCTCCATCTTGCTAACTCACATTTTCCTCGAACAAGGCTTGCACCAACACTTCTCTTCTTTAGCCTTCTCCTTGCTTTTCTTTCGAGCTCGTTTGGTCTTGCGTCTCTTAGTCTTAAGTTTAGCTCGTGGACCACATCCTTTCGGCCAATCCCTCACACATGATGGCCGGTAAATAGGACTAGATGGCTCCTCCAACATATTTTCTAGCCAAATATCGAGACCATCGCCACCCTCATCCTCCGACTCGCCTGGGTTGATGACCACTTTCGTATCAGCACCGTGCGCCGCCAACGGCGGTAAGCCGTTTTACGACCGTACTCGATCTTCTCTCGGAAATTTACTCATAACTGATCATGAAACAACATTTACTGAATAAATGAACATGATATGTTTGAAGGTTTATCATCTCACACGAGCGATGGCTATGAGCGGCCCGTGGTGCGCGCTACGTGCGCGACCACGTCCCTCGGCCAATCTCTATGACTGAACATAAAATTTCTTCGGACAACATAAACTGATTGGTCATAATACATCATAAACTGACTAAATACACAGAATTGCTCGAGGGATTTCCTACCAAAACATGAACATACTCGTTATAGCCACACGCACGGCCGAACGGCTTGATGCCGTTCCATGAACATGACTATGCAAACTGAACCGATATAAATATAACATGATCAATTAAAGGTAACCGAAGTTACCTTCTTGAATGCTCGGTTGAACGCACCCGCTACTTGCGGTTACTAGGAACTTGGGCGTGTGCGGTGGTTCTTGGCGATGGTGTGCGGTGCGGTTGCTTGCTTCTTGCGTGAGCTTGATGAATATTAAGGGCACTCTTCACTCTCTCTCTCGCTAAGTACACTCAATATA